GCAGTGACCACATCTGATATAATGCACTTTTTGTTCCGCCAACAATTTTCCACTCTACTCAGTCAATTTTTGGTGAGCTGGGTAGTGTTTGAAGAGCCACCCAGTCCTTGAATTTTAAAGTGGAACTTCATTCTATCATTCAACATTGACTATTTCTAATCATTATGCTGCAATCATTAGTAAATAGATAGGAAAGTATATTGTATTTACTTAACCTTTTTTTTTTTTTTTTTCCATTCCTTCATTTACTTTCTGGTTTCCATGCCTAGGCAATTGATGTCATACATCCCAGGAGTCTTCAGGATGGGAGAGAGGATTCTCAGCTTAGCCAATGCCTGAGCTAAGGGCAGATCGATTCCAGAAAGTAACTGCTACATGAATGAAGTATGGAGACATGGATGAATGAGGAATTTGTTTTGAATATTAAAAATTAATTTTATAGCATTTTTGGTTTGTGGTGCTCAGACGCAGTGCAGTTCCACCTTAAGAAATCTTTGGAGGCTTTTACCGTATCTACAGTGTACATTGATGTTCAAGGGGATGGTCTGAAATTTGGCCACTCCTGAGGCCTATTGACACAGATCAGTTTTTCAGTTAAAAAAAATGGAAGAAAAACACATGAAACAAATCACTTTAAATCAGGGGTGGGCAACTGTGGCCCTCCAGCTGTTGTAGAACTACAAGTCCCATGAGGCATTGCAAAACTGAAAGTTACAAGCATGACTCCCAAAGGCAGAGGCATGATGGGACTTGTAGTTCACCAACAGCTGGAGGGCCACATTTCCCCACCCTTGCTTTAAATCATATGGAACTCTTCACACCGGTCAAGTGGAAAAAAAAAAAAAAAAAAAAAAAAAGATGCCGCTCAAACCAGCCCAACAAGTCCGATGTGTGAGAGATGGCCTCATCCGCTGCTCTGGCCACACCCTTTAATGCATTTTGCACCGCCCACCAAGGCTTGGTTACAGAGATCACACCCTTTAGTTGCGTTTCAGGCTGCTTTCACACTGCTCTGTTGCAAAAACACAGTAAAAGCGTATATTGCATAACTTTGAATCCCTTGGAACTTGTCACGCCAGTCAGTTGTGTTTCAGTTGTGTTTTTTAAAAGTCCGTCTTGCTGAATTTTTGGTGCGTTTGGCTGCTTTCACACTGATATGCTGTTGGTCATGTTTATTCAGTTAAAAAAAGTGCTCCAAAAATGCATTCCTCCACTGAAATTAATGAAACCACAACCGTGATTCTGCCTGGGATTTGAAAACGCGCTGTGAGAATGTGAAACGCACGATTGCGTGTCCAGGTGGCATTAATTTTAATGGAACCTGAAAACGCACAAAATCGCAGGATGCGTCGCACCCAAAAAAGGTTACAGAACCATTTTTGGGAGGCGCACATCCCGCGATTTTGTTTGCAGGACCAAAGCATGTTTTTGTCGCACGGAAAAACCGTGCAGCGATCGCGGCAAACGCACCCTGCATTTTCAGGTGCCACTGAAATGATTGGCACCTGAACACGCAGTCACGTGTTTTCACATTGCGGCTATTCCATCTGCAATTTAAAACGCCATAATGTTAATTGAGCCTAAGAGTGGCCAAAAAAGACATAAGTCCATCTAGTTCAATCAACATAAAAGAAAAAAAAAAAGGAAATCCTCCAAATAAACAATCCTATACCCATAATTGATCCAGAAAAAAAACATTTATATAAGCCTAGGTTCATATTTGTGCAGATTTGAGGGCCAGGTTTGCACGGGCATGGCAGCCCATTTCTTTGAATCCCTGTGCTGGAGGTTGAGATTTGTCAGGGTGCCATTAAGAGTAAATGGCAACCCACATGTCTCTACAGAGCAGTGTATTTTGTCTGCGGGTGGTTGCAGATACAGGAACATCTGAGATTCCTGCACTCGCAGCCACCCTGCATAGTGTGAAATTTCTCTTAAAGCATGGTCCAATTTGCTGCAGTGGGGAGAAAATAAATTCTTTCCTAATAACCCCAGAAGGCAATCGATTATTCCCTGGATCTCTATCCAAAATTTGTAAAGTTTTGCTATTAGTTCTACTATAAGGTCTGCCTGTAAATTGGAGACATCCGGTAAGGATATTATTCCCAGGGCTTTTTTTCTCAGAGAATAGGTGCAGCAACTCCCCCCTTCTGAGTCACCCCTTGTCTATGCCCCCTACCCACCTCCAAGCACTGTTCCTTTGTTCCACCACCTAATACCTAATACAAAACCAAGTATCATTTTGCGGTGATAAGTAATTTGTACAGGATTTATTATTCATAGCCAGAAAGGCAGTAAAATAGATATCCTGTAGCTAGGAACAATAGACCCCCCCTCCCCCTCATCAACATAGATTACCTGCAGCAATAATAGATCCCCCAGCAGCCAGCAACAATGGACCCCCCAGTGCAGGGGCGGACTGACAACTCATGGGGCCCCCGGGCAATAGGGGATTATGGGGCCCCTGTGTCCTTGCCCAAACTCAAAAAAGCCTATGAAAAAGGTACCAGGGGCAACTCATGGGGCCCCCTACTGACCCCGGGCCCTCGGGCAGTGCCCGAGTTTCCACATGGTCAGTCCGTCCCTGCCCCAGTGACAATAGATCCACCCCAGCAACAATACACTCCCAACAGCCAGCACCTTCTAGCAGCCAGCAACAATAGATCCCTCCCAGTAATTATTGACCCCCAGTAACGTAAGAACCACCCCCAACAAAACTAAATGCCCCACCAGCAACAATAGACCTCCCTACAAAAATAGATCCCCTCCTACAGCCTAGATCCCCCAGCAGCCAGCATAAATAAACCCTCCAGCACCCCTTGTCATTACATACATTCAGTGCTGGAGGTGTCGGAACTGCATTCCTCCACGTTCCTGCTGAAAAAAAAAACTGGTTATTCCATTACATAGCTTGGAGTCATCAGCAAAGACTGAAATTTTATTTTTTTTATGCATTCTTTTATTTTTCAAAACAGTATACACAACACATGCAAAAGGAATTGCATAACACAGAGTTCAGCCATGAGGTAAGTAGGTAATTGTACCACGAATAAAATCTTCAATTTATGGCCAGACTGACAATGATATTTAGGAAAGCAACCTAATGGCATTATGCTTGAACTCTGATAAAATACCCTTAGATATGTAAGTGTCATTTGGAATTAGCCTTAGATGCATGATTAGAAAAAAAAACACATTCACTTTGTAAATGCATTGTAAAGTGAAAGGTGGTTTTCACATGGTATGTTCTGTGCCTGAAATAGTACTTTTAATCCCTAACTCTATATCATTTATAAATAGGTAATAAGTAAGGGATCCTCAAAAATAAAAAAAAAAAGTGTGGGAATACCTAATGTAGTTTCCTCCTCTAGCATAGCAGTCCGGCTAAATTTAGTTTTTGGCTTTACTGTAGTGAGTGGAGCCGTGATCATTTTATCTTTTCAGGGTCTCCTGAGCTCGGTGTTTGATTCCTCACACCCGCTTCTGGAAGAAGCTTCAAGAATATGAGTTAAATGACCAGTATGAATATTTATCATGCTCCTGCCAGTACCTAGAAAAAGGCACCCAGAAGGTGGTTAGGGAGGTGATGTTTGAGGGGCCTTTCCAGCATGTTCTTTCCTCTCCAGGGGTGTTCCAATCCATGGGGTACCCTTGGGAGATAGCTAGTAATACAAGGAATTGCAGTGTGGGCCTCAGTATGTGATGGGCTAAGGGCCTGAAGAAGGTTTATATGCTGGAGGGCATCATCCTGGAGTTCTGGTCTGGAGAAAAATCTTTTGTTTCCCTCACTGAGAAACTACTTATAGATGTTGGGTGGCAGACAGCTCTTGGGACATTGTGAGTAAAGTCTTTAGTGGGGACTGTGGGGTTTGCAAGTGCTGGAAGGGAAATAAGTGCCAGAGGATACTATATTGACTCCGACTGCCCATATAGAGTTATAGATATAGTGGTCATTCTGTTACCTCCAAGAAAGGCTGCATACAGACTATTAGTGAGAAGGTGTACTTACTGTTTGGAGTATCCTGAAGCCCTGAAAACCTTCCCCTTTTTAAGTTACTTAGCAATAAATTTTAAAAAGACATCCCCTAGACCAGTGGTCTCCAAACTGGACGTTTTCTTGCCTTTATCTGGCCTTTGGGGCACTATTCCTCCCACTGAACCAATAATGGGGTACTATTCCTCTCACAGACACAATGATGGGGCATTGTTAATGATGCCAGGACATTTTCTACTCCCACTGGCCATAGTGCAGTCCCTCAAAAATCTGAAGGACAGTTAACTGGCTCTTTGTTTAGAATGTTTGAAGACCCCTGCCCTAGACTAAGCCTGTACTGTTGGCATGCATGGAACTGTGCTTGTGACTGGTAGCCTCTGTACTGCTACTAAGGGACAACCTGTCTTTCTAGCGGCCCCTCTGGACCGCTAGAGCCCACGGAGCCTAAATTAACACAAAACTTTGCATTAAGCTTTAAAATATATCTTACTGATATGCCCCCAAAGTGACATTACTTAACCAAAGTGGAAAATGTGTTCTGGACCCATAAGGATATCTTATTGATATTGCTGTTAAATTGTTGATGTTGCTGCTGTAGGTGATCTGGTTCCTTGCCAGGTGGCTTCTTCCCCCCTGATGATCTCCATGGTCTCCTTGGCTTGTACTGTAATGTAACAAAAATTTTAATTAAGGCTGTAAAACACTGCCAAAAAGTCCAGATACAACTTTCTTCCAATGGTCAGGGGGACAATCAAAGGAGCATCCATTTATTTTTGGGGGTCCAAACCCACTTCTTTCACCAGGACTTGAGACTGAAACAATATACGCAAATTGATTAGATGTGAACTGGACTTTTAATGACATTTCTTCCAGTGAGATTACAAGCACAGGTCTTGTCAGCAGCTGGTTTGGCAATTTTGCTTTTACTGCCATGCTCTTATTTTTGTAATATGACAGTGTATTGAATAATGTATTGATTCACTATTAGTTTTCTCAACGAATCCCCTGCTCCCCGGCTCGGATCAGTACCATTGGGGAGTGGGGGCGGCAGGTACTCGAAATTGACAGGTACCCACTCCCACTCCCACTTCCACTGCGATCGCCTAGGCCAGTGGTCTCCAAACTGCAGCCCAAGGGCCAGATGTGGCCCTTTGCTTGCCTTTGTCCGGCCCTTGAGGCACTATTCCTGCTACTAGAACCAATGAAGAGGCACCATTGTTTTCACTGACACCAACAGTGGGGCACTATTTCTCCTACTGATACCAATGATAGGGCATCATTCCTCCCACTGACACCAATAATGGTGCTCTGTTCTGGCCACTAATACCAATGATGGGATATTATACCTTCTCCTACTAACCACATTTTTAAATCCCACTGACCACAAAGCCTGAGATATTGTGGACTCCCATCGATGCTGGGGTATTTTCTACTTCCATTGGCCACAGTCCGGTCCTCTTAAAGTCTGAAAGGCAGGAAAGTTGCCCTTTTTTTTCTAGGAAGTTTGAAGACACCTGGCCTAGGCTATCAGAAGTAGAAGTTGTCCTCCCCCCTCCCTCCCCATAGTCTTCTGGGACACGTGACAGGTCCCAGAAGACTGCGGGACCATTCACAAAGTGCAGCACTACTCGCGCATGCGCAGTGAGCACCCTGCTGTGAAGCCACAAGCTGTCACAGCCGGGTGTCCACACTGAAGATGCAGTTGCTGGGAACACAGGGCGCCCAGAGAAAATGGCTGCAGGGAGGACAGCGAGGGACAGGTAAGTGTCCAGTTTTTGTAGCTGGTGACTTATTTTTTTTTATTTTTTACTGGAACTCTGCTTTAATGTGTCTGTGTCAAGTCTTACAATGGCATACCACTTTCTTATACTGTAATTGTACATCTGTCCAGTAAGAGTCCATAGATGGCCATGGGTTTTCCATGAATATGCATCATTTCATACTATACAGAGAAGGAAACAGGGACTATAATCGTAGTGATTGAAATAGTCTGGAAATATTTCATATGGGTCAATCAATATTCTGTATCTTATTGCTAACCTCATGGAAACAGGTCAGGCATGCTGCAATGGGAGCTATGTGCAGAATCTAAAGGAACAAGTGGCTCTCAATGAATTCTTGTGTATTAAGTGACAAGTTCCTGCTGGTGGATTACATGGTGAATAAATAAACTGATCATTGTGTTAGAGATGCGTATTACAGGCAGATTCCATTAAAGTTGAAAACCAACATTCAGCTCTGCCTCTTCACATGCTGTGTTCATTTGCTATTTTTCTTGTCCTCCCTGCTTTCACTTCCATTGTTGTGTATGTAGCCCCCTCATATGTATTGTTCCCTCCCGCAGAGCTTCTTACATTAGGAATTAACTGACGAGAAAAAACAGCATGGCAATGCTCTGATATTAACCAGCCCTGTTCTGAATGACAATGAGAAAACCTAAAACATCTTTACAAGAAGAAGTCTGTAACCTCTGGTGACTTTCCCATAACCTTTCACCTCAGTCTCTGCCTTAACCTGAAACATCTTGGTTTGCGTGGGAGGAAGACAAATGTCTTAGCTGAGTCTCAATGTAGCATGCACATATTTGATTGCCAATTCTACATGTTTATGAACACTGTCTTTTCTTTGAATTCACCCTCTTCAACAAAACCCACTGCAATAGTGTAAAGTAGCCCAATACATACATATGGGTCTGAAACCAGGGGCGGACTGACAACTCATGGGGTCCCCGGGCAATAGGGGATTATGGGGCCCCCGTGTCCTCACCCACACCCCAAAAAGCCCATGAAAAAGCCAATGAAAGGTACCAGGGGCATCTCATGGGGCCCCTACTGACCCTGGGACCTCGGGCAGTGCCCGAGTGGCTAAATGGTCAGTCCGCCCCTGTCTGAAACAACCACAAGGCTGATGATGATCATATTAATAATTGAACAATAATGGACAAGTTCATAAGTGCAGTCAGAATATCAGCACATGGCCACCATGTTTAGTCACATTATTTTAATGTAATGGATTAAATTGCTTCTTTATGGGAGAATCAGGCAGCTACTGTATATTTCAACTAAGCTGGCCAAGGACATGTCCAAACTGAACTGCTGTCCAGCAGTCTGTGAGTCTAGTTTGGCATCTAATGCTTACTCCAATTGCCCAAATGAGAAGCCAACTGATTGCTCACTTTCATAAGTGGAGCCCATTACACTCAAAACTATCCCCAAAACATAAATCAGCAGCCAGTTGCAGAGCTAGCACAGCCCCTGGGTTGAGCTAATCCTAAACACTGACAGAGGTTATGTTTTGGTTGAAAATATGGATGAGCTTTGGGTTCAGGCTCATCTTAACAAACTGACCCAAATAGGCCAACTCACCTGCCCAAACCCCCAGCTTCTCTTTGTAAACAAACCAACCAGAGATCTTGGGCAACATCAATAGTTTAACTGTCATGAATGCTTTCATTCATGACAGCTTGCTTTCTAGTGTGATTCTGTGATTGGTTACAGCTAATCACATGGTACAGGGTGCCAGGTACCAGGTGATAGCTGTGGGCAAATCAAAGCATCACAATAGTAAGTAAGCCCTTATGAATGGAAGCCATTCATGACAGTTTTGCTTACATTGTAATCATGTGATTGCTCTGATTCACACAGCGGTCACAGGATCACGCGGCTGCACGCCCCAGGGTGTGTGCCATACGACATATGGGTAAGTTGTGGTTCCTGTAGCTGCTGCCCGCCTGCAGTAAATATACTGTGGGTGTGAGGCAGTAGTTGACCAAAATGTGAATCGGTCATTTGTGATGGGAATAGTGGTAGGAAAGCAGCATCATGCTGCGGGTCATTGTGACAAAGGGGCACATCAGTAGGTAGCATGTAATTATGAAAAACAAGTGATGTTGGATTTGCATGGGGAGTGCATTGTTTACATTTATGTTTTACATTTTTCTTGGGGGGATGAGTAAGCACCCTTCAAATGTGCACCCTCACGGCCCTCCCTTTCCTGGCTTCTCAGGCTGCATGCCTAGATAAGACTCTGGTTTGAATGTTAGGCAGAACACCATACCTAGGTGTACTGTCTCTTTTAACCACTTGCTGTCAGATTTTTTATTTATTTTTCACACACAAATTAAAATCATAATTTTTTGCTAGAAAATTACTTAGAACCCTTAAACACTATATATTTTCTGAAAGCAGAGGCCCTGGAAAATAAAATGATGGGTGTTGCAATTTTTATATCGCACAATAGTTGCTCAGCAGCCGTTTGCATGAATGCGTGGGGGGGGGGGTTGTTGCTTTTAATTTTTTACCATTTTATTTATTTTATTAAAATTTTTTCCCACTACCAAGTCCCCTACATAATAGCTTTGGGCAGTGACAAGTACTCTTTATGGACACATCAGGGGTTTATTAGACCCCCAGATTTCTCCCCTGCCCTCCAATGCAGCTGATCAAACACAGATCATGCTTGCACAGCTACTTTACTGGTTGTGACAGCCAGAGAATAACAGCTCTGAAACTGGAAGTGAAAAAATCATTACCACTTCTGGCTTCACTCCTCAGAAGATTTTTCTCCCATCTCTGTGTGAAAGGATCCCAGCCATTTACTGCAATCCTGGAAAGGAAAGTGCCTGGGAACCACCGTTAATATAAAAAGACTGGGCAACTATAGAGCCACCCTGATCACGCCGGCTCTAAAATACAATAATGAGATCATGGCTGCACCTGACAGGACTGTTTTATACATACAGCAGTCAGCAAGTGGTTAAAGAAGTAGTTGAAAATTCTGCATGGAGTTACACTTGGAATTCACACCAACCCACCACCCAGTTATTCTGCTCTGTTGTTCTGCCACAAAATGACAGGCATGATCAGGGGCGGACTGACAACTCATGGGGCCCCCAGGCAATAGGGGATCATGGAGCCCCTGTGTCCTTGCCCAAACTCAAAAAAGTCTATGAAAAAGGTACCAGGGGCATATTATGGGGCCCCCTACTGACCCCGGGCCCTCGGGCAGTGCCCGAGTTTCCAAATGGTCAGTCCGCCCCTGGGCATGATTATCTTTGTAAACAAAGTGAATTGTGATCCTGGGTGTTCCTTGACCAAATAAGATCATGACCATAGTTGCTCAGTTATGTATGTCACTCATGATCCCAGGACAATGTGTTTACAAACAGTAGCCAGCTAGGGATCTGTCATTTAAAGGCAGTAGTGAGGACTCTGCTAAATGATCCCCAGATGTATTTTTACAAACAGCAGAATTTTTTTTTAATGTTACTTTAAAGGATTAACGCATACTTTTCCATAATGTCACTTTCAGTTTTAAGGCATCATCCAAGCATGTTATTTAAAGGATTTGTGTATTTTCAGAATTGCCGTTTAAGCCACATTAAAAGGCTGTCTTTTCTCTGAACTATATTTTTTTTAATTGCATTGGTACATACCTCCCATGGCAGTACCAAGGCACTTTTCTAACAATATTTCGCAAATTAGCCTAGAAGAAGGCCAGAAAAAAAAATATGATTTGGCTCTTATAGACTTATTAGGATTCAGCAATATGTTGTCCATAGAATTTTTATTGGGTTTGCTCATCCCTAGTTAATAGGTTGCAATGCTGAAGGTGAAGCATTTGGCAGTTACTGGAAAGAAATGCTTAAAAGGTAATAGTAGCAATAATAAGGGTGGCCCCCAGATTAAATCTGAGGCCTCAGTTAAATACTCTTTATCCCTTAATACAGTGTATTGTTAAGCTAGGCATACATGGGACGGCCCTGTTGGTACCACCTGGCCCCGCAAAAGTTGATAAAAAAATCAAAAGGAACCGGATGGAAAATTGTCAGCCAAACAATGACTACATCTCATCCACTCATCCATGAAACCACTAAGCAACTTATTCACTCCCTTGTTATCTCTCACCTTGACTATTGTAACTCCCTCCTCATTGGCCTACCTCATTGCAGGCTATCCCCTCTACAGTCTCTCATAAATGTTGCTGCCAGACTCATCCACCTTACTAAACGTTCCATATCTGCCATTCCTGTCTGCCAATCCCTCCACTGGCTTCCCATTGCCCAACGAATAAAGTTCAAAACATTAACAATACCATATAAAGCCATTTATAACTCTGCCCCAAATTACATCACCAACCTTGTCTCCAAATATCACCCAAACCGTACTGTGCTCCTCCCTCGACCTCCTGCTCTCTAGGTTTTTTGCCTCCTCCTCTCATGCTTGTCTCCAGGACTTCTCCAGAACCTCTCCATCCTCACCCCAACTCTCTACCCCAATCTATCCTACTATTGCCTACTCTGCCCACTTTTAGGTGATCTCTGAAAACCTATCTCTTCAGGGAAGCCTATCCTGCCTTCAGCTAATAATGGAATCTTCTATTCCTCCTACCAGTCCATCCCCCACAGTTATTACCTTTTGTACCACGAGCCCCTCCCTCTTAGATTGTAAGCTCCAAGGATCAGGGCCCTCCTAACCCTCTTTTATTGAACTGTATTGTTGCTGTATTGTCTCCCGTTATATTGTAAAGCACTGAGCAAACTGTTGGTGCTATATAAATCCTGTATAATATTAAAAATCAATTGTCCTACAGCTGCCTGAATACCATAGCTACAATCCAATGAGAGCACCAAACAAATATCTACGGTTTTTATTGGGAAAATTTATTACTAGCAGAAAAAAATCTAATGTGTTTCGGTGGTCAAAAATACTCCATCTTCATCAGGGCTTAGGAATTTTGAAAGTGCTTAAATTGATTCAAGTAAACAGAACCCAAA